TCCCAGCTTAAATCAGAAGCCTGAATTCTAATTCCAACACAGAGAAAAAAACCAACACCCTTAGAGTACCCCCCAAACAATAATGTCCCCTTCCTTCCTCCATACCTTGCCATGTGATGCCAGTTGGAAGGCTTACCTCTCTGGTTTTTAGCTGCTTCTTGCTTCTGGCATTGAGAATTTTATTTTCTTGCAAATTCACCTATACATTTAAAGAGTGCTTGCTGTATTTTATCCAGCATCTTTAGATTATACTATAGAAGTAGAATTTTCAGGACTCTTTTCCCTGCTTTTGTCAGAACTGGAGGCCCTTTTAGTCGCTCAGTCGTGTCCAACTCTTTGCGACCCCATGGACTGTTGTTCACTGGGCTTCTCTGTCTATGGAATTGTCCAGGCAAGAATACTGGAGAGGGTAGCCATTTCCTTCTCCAGGGGATCTTGCTGACCCAGGGATTGAACCTGGGTCTCCTGCATTGCAAGCAGATTCTTTACCATCTGAGTCACATATTCCAAACCTTCTTATCCTCATGAGTGTCATGACTGCGATTACCCTTTTGCTTGCCAAAGTTATCAATCAGTCTCTCTTTTGGGGGCACCTTCTTGTCTGCCTAAAATAAGCATAGATTTCCATTTTGAAAAGGTTTCCTTCCACTTGATGGATATTTCTGTCTTTCTATAAATCTTCTTGAGCTTTGTTCTTAAATGCAGTTAAAATACTCAGAAACAGTTTGATCCTTTCCAATACTGGCTTTATTCATCATGCTGTGGGCTTCCTTGGTGGCTGAGATGGTAAGGAATCTGCCTGCAATGTAGGAGACCTGGGTGTGATCCCTGGGTTGGGAAGATCCTCTGGTAAAGGGAAAGGCTACCCACTCCAGGATTTTTACCTGGAGAATCCCATGGACGGAGGAGCCTGGAGGGCTACAGTCCATGGGGTCGCAAAGTCAGAGACAACTGAGCACCTAACACTCACTTTTCACTTCCCAATGTTGCACAGTATATCCTGGATGCGTAGAGTATTCATATAGGTTGTAAAGTGCTGGGTCCAAAATCTCAAATCTGAGACAAAATAGTGGAAAAAAAGGACATGGCTTTGAGAATTTAATGACTCCGGAAGTCTAGATGTACTTTTTCTTAAGTTCTGAATGTTCAGAATCTCTGAGCATTTGGATAGAATTGCATTGCCTCCCTCATTGGAATGAGGTCTCTTTATTATCTGAGTTCCTATCCTGTTTATTCAGACTGATTTTCTACAAGGGAGACATGGCCACACATGTTTTTGTTATGGCTAATGTCATTGCTTCCTTAGGACAGTGGCCAGAGAAATGAAGTAACTGAGTTGGCTGAGCTGGAGCCAGTGACATATCAAGTCAACCCATGTTCTTCTGTTCATTCTGCCTGTCATTGACTCAACAAAGAGCTATTGAACCCCTGCCATGGGCCAGGAATTGTATTAGTGGTGGGAACATAAAGATGAATAAGAGATGAACCATGGGACACCTGAAGGGTAGGTGGGACGCTGCATACTGGAGTGTCAGAATGGGGCCACTGGCCAACCCAGTACTCAGATTCAGTGGAAGAGCGGTGTCTTTTGCTGGGATTCAGGTCAGAGAGAATCTTCACCAAGTAGACTGGCATTCTCGGGGAAACTGTGGCAGCCAGAAGCAATGGCAGGACGTCCCTGGCGGTCTAGTGACTATGACTCTGTGCTTCCAATACGGGAGGCGTGGGTTCAGTGCCTGCCTGGGGAACTAGGTGTGTGGGAACTAGGATGCCATGTGTCTCCTGGTTTTGGTTTTAATCAGGGCGATATGATGCATGAATCTGCTTTGAAACTCAGAAAATGAGTTCAAGCCCTGAGTTTTTATTTAGAAACTTCATGGCCTCAGGGAAGTTATTGAACCTTTATCCCTTCATCCACAAAATGGAAGTACTAATACATGGGTAAGGATTACTATAAGAATTAAATGAGTATTCTTATAAAGTATAACATGGTGTTTAATATATAGTGTAAATCCAATAGATGTTTGGTCCATTTCTCTCTACACATCCAAAAACAAAACAAAACCAAAAGAACTAAGCATTGAGGCATGAAAAACAGCCATGAATCTTCCATATCATCTCACAGTATCCACACAGGTAATTATATGGATGAAATCAGCTCTTCACTTGGCTAGGATTGCTGCCCAGTCAAGTGGCTGTTAGCAGAAATAAGTTACCTGCCATTGTTTCCACTGTAAAAGACATCTTGATTATGGTGCCCTGTGAGTTTTCTGATTAAATAAATCCAAATTATCATTTTCATTAAAATGCTCCTATATTATCATGGGTAGAAGATGTAGGGAAGTAGATTTGAATCAAATGTAACATAGCAGCGATTTTCTAATTATGACTGTTTTTTGAAAGTACGACACAATAAACTAAGTTCAGAGACCTGGTTGTGTTCAAGAAGTTGGGATCCCATTTGTCCAAAATGGAACAGAGAGTTCATCCAAATTATGTTCCAACTGTGATGTTTCTTAGATGGATGATTTGGCATTTATTAGATCCAAAGGAGGGAAGTCTAGCTATCTTTTGAAAAGGTCTTTCTGTTAAGTGAAAACTATTCTAGGGAGCCAATTTTCAGCCAATGGGTAATGCTTTTGGAATGCTTATGAAGACTCTAGGCTGTCATCTTTGACATGTGTGAACTTGGTGAGAAAAAACATTTCTTCAAGTGTTTTATAAAATTTCTGATGTTTCAATAACTTAACCATGGCTAAACGTTTTTTATTTTGCCCCTGATTTGTTTCACTTTTGGGTTCACCCAGAAGGCAGGGAATGAGATGCTTCGGTTGTCCAGAAAATATCTACAGTATAAAGAATCAGGAGAGAATAGTGGAAAGAGAATTGGCCTGGAATTGGGAGCTTTAAAATTATGTCCTGGCTCAACCTTTGGCAAGTCACTTAATATGATATCTCACCTGTAAGTATGTTGTTGTTTAGTCGGTGAGTTGTGTCTGACTCTTTTGTGACCCCATGGACTGTAGCCCACCAGGCTCCTCTGTCCATGGGGATTCTCCAGACAAGAATACAGGAGTGGGTTGTCATTTCCTTCTCCAGGGATCTTCCCAACCCAGGGGTCGAAACCGAGTCTCCTGCATTGGCAGGTGGGTTCTTTACCACTGAAACCCCAGGGAAGCCCCTATATTACCTACTTGGAAATAACAATGAGAATTGCCCTTCTATCTTACCCAACAAGATCATTGTTCTGGGATCAGGGTTCTGAGATCAGGGTTTCCTGCCTTTTCCCAGCAGCATTCGTGTTTCCAGAAGAGTCTGGAAAATGGGTGAGCCCGTGTGCTTATACCACTGTAGCCGCAGATATTCACGATGAGACATTGGCACCCCCAAGGGGACTCACTCACGTTTCCCATCCTGCCTCCAGTATTTCTCAAGAGTAGCTGGTAAAGCCTCCTAAGAAAGAAACTGGGGGGAGTGGAGCGCAGATTCTGCTTGTGCTTGGGGTTCCCAGGGATTCCACACTATTTCATTAACCCTCATTTGACCTTTAAGAATTTGTTAAAATTTTACCTGTTTTCTTTTTATCCACTTTTAGCTGCCACTTCTTTTGGGCTCTTCCAAAAGGGAAGTAGTTTGTATCTTCCATCCCTCCTCGGAGGGGTTCAGTACTCATTGGAATTTAGTTCACTTGAATGCTTTGTGCTCTCAGCTCTCTGATGGGCTCAAGAGTAGTTATAATTTTGTAGATTACTTTGCCTTTTCTCATTGTTAGGGTGGCATCAATAGTCTCTTGTGGCTTTCTATATCCTAAATGGACATGGAAGAGTTTAGTAAACTTTAGTGAAGGAACTGTTTATAGGAATGCTTATAGCATCCAAGCATACCTCAGAGATATTGTGGATTTGGTTCCAGACCACTGCAATAAAACAAGTATCCCAATAAAATGAGTTGTGTGAATGTTTTGGTTTCCCAGTGCATATAAAAGTTACCTTTGTACTATACTGTCTACTCAGTGGGCAATAGTAGCATTACATCTAAAAATGTATGCATACCTTGATTTAAAAATACAAAACAAGGTAAACAAAAAGGATTTATTGTATAGCAGGGAAATAGATTCAGTATCTTGTAATAACCTATAATGGAAAAGAATCTGAAAAAAACTATTAACTGAATCACTATGCTGTACACCTAAAATTAAACCAGTGTGGTAAATCAACTATGTGTCCGTGCTAAATTGCTTCAGTTGTGTCTGACTCTTTGCGACCCCATGGACTGTAGCCCACCAGGCTCCTCTGTCCATAGGGTTCTCCAGGCAAGAATACTGGAGAGGGTTGCCTTGCCCTCCTCCAGGGGATCTTCCCGACCCAGGGATTGAACCTGAGTTTCCTGGGTCTCCTGCATCACAGGCGGATTCTTTACCTCTGAGCCACCAGGGAAGCCCATACTTCAATAAAAAACAAAACTATGGTATTAGAAAGATCACCAGCCACAGATCACCATAACAAATTTAATAATAAAGTATTACCAAATGTGACACAGAGACAGAAAGTGAGCAAACACTCCTGGAAAATAGCAGCAATGGACTTCTCAGTGCAGGATTGCCACAAACTTTCAATCTATAAAATCCACTCAATAAAGGGAAATGCAATACATGAGGTCTGCCTGTACACGACAAAAAAGTGATAATACAGCACCTATACATGAAAACACCAGTGATAATACAGCACCTATACACGAAACACAAGTGATAATACAGCACCTATACACAAAGACACAAGTGATAATACCAACCCTGAAGCTGGTAATTGCCAAGCACTGTTACCACCTTGTTATGGGTTGAATTGTGTCCCTCAAAAGATCTGTTGAAGTTTTAATCCTTGGTTCCTAGGGATGTGGTCGTATCTGCAAAGGAAATCTGTGAGTGTAACCAAGTCAAGATGAGGTCACAAAGGCAGACCATCCTCCAGTATGACTGGCATTCTTATAAGAAAGGAGAAGGAACAGACAGAAACACGTGCAGAACACCATGTGATGACAGACAGAGAGAGTGGAGCAATAGCTCTACAAACCGAGGCTCACCCAGGGCGGCCAGCAAACCCCGGAAACCAGGAAGGGACCAGGAAGGACCATTCCTTGGGCAGTGAGATCATGGGCCTGCCAACACATGCATTTCAAACTTACAGCCTCTGGAACTGTGAGACAAATTTATGTTATTTTATATCACTCAATGTATGGTACTGATTTTAATGTTTATTTGTATTTATTTATTTTTAGCTTGGCTCCACTGGGTCTTAGTTGCGGTATGTGGAATCTGTTAATAGTTCCCGGACCAGGGATCAAACCCAGGCCCCCTGCATTGGGAGTGGGGAGTCTTAGCCACTAGGCCCTCAGGGAAGTCCCAGCATAGGGTAATTTGTTATGGCAGACCCTAGGAAATGAAAACACAGCCTCAGGCATGAAGGGGCAGGGAATGGAGGCAGAAAGAGCCAGGGGGAGCTGTAATCTCAGAGCAGCGCCCACAGGGAGGAGAACGGACACCTGATCTCTCTGTTTTCTGGTCCTTCCTTCTCCTGCTGGGAAGCTTTTTGACTAAACTCAGCTGGAAGCGGAGGGCAAGTTTGCTGGTTGAGGGAGTTGGTACCTGTTAGCCTCCTGGGGCAGAGGGCACACAGACTCCAAGATGTGGGGAGAACAGGCAGGCTGGCCAGTCCAGCCAGGCTCTGTATCACAATGTAACTTAATCTGTTTCTGGTAGGTGGAAGTGGGTCACCAGAAAGACCACAGAGTTAGTAAATCGACGGTTTTGTCCCAGCTATGTTCTGACTCATTGTGACCTCTAACACTTCACTTAACCTTTCTGACCCGCTTCTTTCCTCATCTGTAGTCAGTGGTGAGACTGGATGACCTCTGTGGTTTCTTCCTGGCCTCGTGTTGTGTGTACCGGGATGAGTAATCTTACATCAGGCAAAAAGAGGTCTAAAGTCAATTTTCTGAGGTCTGTAACTTGAAACTTTTATGATTTTGAGCCAGGTTCAGTGAAGACAGCTATCAGTGTTGTCGATGATCTTTGTACCTTTTCTGGACTTGTCTTTTACAAGTTAAAAAATGTATTTTCATGTCTACAATCTCTCTCTCAAAGTATTTTCAAGTCTACGATCTCTCTCTAAATTTCTTTCTTTCTTTTTTTTTTACCGTTTTTATTTGATATGCACCATTTTAAAAGTCTTTATTCAATTTTTTACAGTATTGCTTCTCTTTTGTGTTTTTTGGTTGCAAGCCATGTGGGGTCTTAGTTTCCTGACCAGGGATTGAACCAGTACCCCCTGCATCGGAAGGCAAAGTCTTACCCAGTGGACTTGCCAGAGAAGTCCCTACAATCTCTTTTTAATGTAGCTGCTCTGTGAAAATTTTGTCACTTAGGGGTTAAAATTTTGTGTGTGTGTGTGTGTGTGTGTTTTACAGTTCAAGTGGTCCATCTGAGAGAAAGTTTGAGTTTTTGATTAATGCCATTTGCTTTTGTCAAGGAACTCGCCGCTTTATCACTTTTTAGATCGTCTTTTCAGTTACTCTTTTAGCATAGAGTGGACAGGAAAGAAAGAGTATGAGTGTCAAGGAGCCAAAGGTTATCTTATTGATTTTTTTTTTTTTTTGGAGGAGGGTTCCTTTAAGTCAATGGTGAATATACTGTAAACTCTTTGTTCTTCCACATGGGCTGTAGAGTTCTTAATGTGGTGATGCCCTTGGGGGCTCTGATATCGTTGATCCAGATGCTAGAGTTGGCTTTGAGCAAAGGCAGAGGCTAATGATCCAATAATGTTACATGTCACAGACAAAGTCAATGGAATCAGAGTTATATTTCCTGGTGTCTGCAAGGTGAGCTTTTCCCCTTTGAGTGACACCCCACTCAATTCATAGCTGATTCCCCAAATTTTCTTATCACATGAAACCACTGTTACCATTTTGCTTCTGCTCTCAAAATACTCTTGGGTAACAGTTCTTCAGAAATGATCTTCTGATGTCAACCTGTTTCTCACAGCAGAAATCAGGAGGACTTACAATACGGTGACATGGGGAAGGATATACCTATTAGGGACCAAAAAACCCAACCAAAGTTAGGATAGACACATACTCATGAGAATATATAACTGTGTTCCTTTTCTTTTTTTCTTTTTTTTTTCATGTATATAACAGAGCAGTAATATGTGGATGGAAATCAGGGGTCCACAGCCCAGTTAGAAACTGGGCCACACAGCAGGAGGTGAACAGTGGGTGAGACAGTGAAGCTCCGGCTCTATTTACAGCCTCTCCCCATCGCTTGCATCCCCCTGGTTCATAGAAAAATTGGCTTCTGGTGCCAGAAAGGTTGGGGACCACTGAGTAAACTTGGCAGTGGCTCATCTGATAGGGAAGAGCCAGTTGCAGACTAGCTACATGTGAGTCAGTTACTGCACAGGAGACACTGAGGCAGAGGGAAGCTCGGGATGTAGAGACCCCGGCTGGCAGGGGGGAGAGAGTCAGCCGACTGGACAGGTTTCTGTATCTGCCTCCATGAAATGTATTTGCAAAGTTAGGAGAAGGAGGGAATCCTAAGTAACGCCAGGGGTCTTTGGATAGAACTTCATCCTCATGTATCATTCTTGTTTCTTTTGTAATCCTGTGTGTTTTAAGAACACTGTTCTGCCAAAGGGGCTTCCCTGGTAGCACAGATGGTAAAGAATCCGCCTGCAATGCGGGAGACCTGGGTTCCATCCCTGGGTTGGAAAGATCCCTTGGAGGAGGGCATGGCAACCCACTCCAGTATTCTCGCCTGGAGAATTCCCCATGGACCAAGGAGCCTGGCGTGTTACAGACCACGGGGTTGCAAAGAGTCGGACAGTACTGAGTGACTAAGCACACATTCTGCTGAAGAGGTAGAAAAGAGTTCTTGGATTAGGAAAATAAGTTAATCAAGAGATACCCAGGTGACTGATGTCAGTACCTTTACCAGGTCCCATGCCAGTAGATAAACTGAGGCCCGTATCAGTAAGCTGCACACAATTCAAGGTCATCATTTAGGCAAAATGAAGAGCTCATAAGGGTTGAAATGGCCCTGGCCCACTCAGTATGTGGTATATATGCAACATAAGTTTTTTTGTTACATGAACTAAGCATGGTTTCCTGGTAAGAGAAACTGTTCCACCTGGTGAAGTTTGATACTGACTTCCTTTCTTATACCAAAATAAATTCCAGAAGGATTAAATGTTTAAACATTAAAATATGGATCTATAAAAACACTAGAATAAAACCTTTATGAATTTTAAAAATGATCTTGGAATGGGTATGGCTCTTTTAAGCATGATATAAAGCTTAGAACCATAAAGCAAAGGATAAACAGATTTGCCTATATAGAAATAAAAAATTCTACTTGAAAAAAATAGTGTAAAGAAAGTCCAAAGACAGACTGGGAAACAAAATAACAGCCACACTTGTCACAAAAGGACTCATGTTCCATAATATCTTGAGAACTAAAAATAGAACAGATCAAGACCAAAAACTCAGAGACAAATGAGCATAAGACATAAAGAAGGAGGTTGTATAAAAAGAATGAGAAGAGATGCATGCTCACTGATAACGAAATACAAAATAAATGGGCAGATGAGTGTTTTGCCCCCACTGAATTGGCAAAGATTAAAAAGTTTGATCATCTCCTCAGTTGGCTAAAGTATATGCCAACAGATATTCTTGTATACTGTTGTTTGTAGAAGAACAAATTGGTGCAAGTGTTTGAAGATAAATTTGGCAATATCTATGAATTGCCTAAAATGCTCAATTCCTTTGACTCACTGTCTCTACTTTTATGAATTTAGTTCATATATGAACTCACATAAACTTGCAAAATTATGTGTACAGAATGTTCTTGGCTGCTTTCTAATAATGACATAAACAAACACATAGACACTAAGAAATAGCCTAAGTGCCCGTAACTCAGTGGCCATGTACATTCATTATGGTCCACACACACCATGGTTCATAGCTACTAAAATCAGGTAGATCTATATGTGTTAATAGGAAGAGCGCACATGTATTAAATTAAAAAAAAAGAGAACTTGCAGAATAACATGTTTAGAATGATCCTATTTGTATCTAAAAACATTCAGAATATTCACAACACATGGAGCTCTTGGCAGTGGTTATCCCCGTAGTATACAATGGGAGTTTAAGATGGAAGTTGGGGGACTTCCCTGGTGGTCTAGTGGCTAAGACTCTGAGCTGCCGATGTGGAGGGCTCCCTCAGGTTCGATCCCCGATCAGGGAACTAGATCCCACGTGCCACAGCTAAAAGATCCCACATGCTGCACCTGAGACTCAGTGCGGCCAAATAAATAAATAAATATTAGGAAAAAGATGGAGAGTGGGAGAAAGGTGAGGGATGACTGGAGAGTTGCAGAATTTCCCCACCCACTCCCACATGGAGCCTTCTCTACTGTTTGAATTTTAATATCAAAGCTATATTTTGTAAAAACATTCAAAAAAGTTTTATTGGAAAGTGATTACTTACCAAATAAACACATGAGTACCTCCCTCATATATCAGATATCCCCACTTGTGTGATGCTGAGAGCTGGCGAGACACTTATTAAAGTAAGTGGCTTTGGGTAGTGGCCCTAGACCCACCTCTCTTGCATTTTTGGAGGAAGAGTAGTGTTCAAGAGATCAGGCTCTTGACATCACTGAAGTTTGGCTTGAATCTCAGCTCTTCTGTTTACTAGCTGTGTCACCTGGAGAAGTCACTTTACCTTTCGGGCAGAAAAATAGTGGGGGCTACCTGCCTGATACATGCAAAACAGCAAAGTAAATCTGCATTGTTTGGGTTAATTCAGTGGAAAACTGTAAAGAATTTGTTGTATGTTTTATAATTTTCCAGGCAACTATAGTAGCATTATCTTATTTGATTCCCAAACAATCAAATAGGCGAAGAAAGTATTTATCCTTCTTATTTTATAGGATAAACTATTGGTTTGGCCAGAAGGTTCACTGGGGCCATTAAAAGTGTCTCCTCAGAAAAATGAACACCTTGCGCAGGAAACAGGAAGACATTTCACATCTTGTCTTGGTTTGCATCTCTGTGTTTCTTGGATGGAAGTTCTTTCCTTCTGGATTCAGGGTGTTTGACTTGATTGTGCGTGTGTTGAGTGGAAGCTGCCCTGTTCCCCCA